GGGGGGAGATAGACACAGACAGAAGCAACAGGAGAATACTTAATGAATTGAGGTATACAGGTGGCACCCACAAGACAAAAATCATACCTTGACACGTTATATCAATATGACAGGGTGCAGGATAGCCCTCTCCCTCCCACCAAAACAAAACAAAACAACAGGTAAAAACATGAAAAACTGAACAACAACAAAACCCAACAGTACAGGGTATCTTAAGAAAGGACCAATTTAAAGGGCAAACACTAGGTCATATTTGCACCAATTTTAACCAAACCTCGAACAAATAAAATTCAACCAATTGTGCGCAAATTTTTTATGTAAAGAAAATCAATCAACATGTTCTAGAAATATCCAATGAACAAAAAAATTCCACCGAAATTGGGTAAAACCGCAAAACTTTACTTCTTAAAAGCATTCAGCTACCAGAGGGCGGAATCGGCCCTGGCTAGTTTCAGGAGGATTAAGACGGTGAAGAGAATCTTTGGTGAAACCACGATCGTCCGTCATATCAGGCACGATCGTCCGTCACATCAGGCGAATACCTCCTCACGCAGACAAAGCTTAGGGGAGATACTATGGGGAGGATCAAAAGTGTAGTACTAGTATCTGTTCCCAACTTTTCCTCGGCCTTGTGCCCACTGGTTTTAGTTTTACTAAGTGTTTTACGGCACTTGCAACACAATAAGGTCATGTATGCGCCGAAGATTACAGGTGTTACAAGAGAGTAACAAACACAAAAAAAAGGAGAGACCAGGACGATAGATGTTTGATAGGAAAGAGGGGGAAGAGATAAGGATGATAGATGTTTGATAGGAAAGAATAAGAAGCAAACCACACCAGAGCACTCGCCATTCGCCAACCACCCACTGCCCACTGGTTAGCGGGGCAGATACTGCTGAAGCTGATGAGGCACGGGAAAATCTGTGTCTCAATTATCTCTAGTGGATGGATTTTACTGTCCTCAATTTTAAAGGAAAAAATATGGGGTGGATCAAAGAGTAGTGTCTGTTCGCGGCGTTTCCTCGGCCGGCCCTGTGCCCACTGGTAAATGGGCCGGACACTGCAGAAGCTGGCGAGGGACAGAGCAATCTGTACCTCAATTCTATTTTTTTTTCTACCGTCCCCAATTTTAAAAACAAATAACTTCAAAATATGTCGAGGAGGAGAAGTTGTTGTCTTGTTAAAGAAGCGAGACTCCATCAGGATGGGGGCACACGCCCCACACATTCACCAGCGTTGCATCCCTCTAGTTGAATTCCATTTATTTGAAAGTTTTGATGAAATTGGTCCAAAGATAACCGAGTTATTGCCTCACAAACTCACTAGTGTTACGTCCCTCTAGTTAAATTTCATTTGTTCGGAAGTTTCGTTGAAATTGGTCCAAAGGCAACCAAGTTATTGCCCTAAAGGTGAGTCCACTATTGCCCTAAAGGTGAGTCCACTATTGCCCTAAAGGTGAGTCCACTTTCTTTTCAGACACCCGGTAGGACAAAGAAACAACGATGAATTTTTAAAAAAATGTGCACACAGACAGGCATACATTGCTGGACTGTGGTCAGCAGCAGACACATCAGTGGCGTCACAACAGGGACCATAGGTAGACAACAGGAGGCACGCGACAGTTAGATTGAATGACCAGTATCATAGTGCTTTTAGTTTTTTAAAGAGTTTTAAGGCGCTTTGCTGCAGAATAAGGAAATAAAAGTGCCGAAAGTTAGAGGAGTTACAAGACAGTAACGAACACATAATAGAAGGAGGAGAGATAAAGACGCGAGTTGTTTGATAGGAATGAAGGAGCAAACCACATCAGAACACCCGCCAACCACCTGCTCATATAGTGCTTTGTGTATGTAGAAAAACTCTTCGCTTTGAAATCAAATAAAATACACTATACTGTCATGTCCTACCAGTTTTGTACCACACTGAACAAGGTTTATCTCTCAGCTTGTTAGTCTGAGCTGTAGAAGTTAGAAGAAGCACATCGGGCATGATAACGACCATCTGGTGCTGGGGAGAGGGGAGAGGAGAGGGGAGA